CCTCCTCGCTCCTCCTCCTCCTCCTCCTCCTTCTTCTTCTTCTCCTGCTCCTCCTCCTCCTCCTTCTCCATTTCCTCCTCTTCTTCCTTCTGCTCTGCGACCGTGACGGCTCGCAGCCGACCCCCCGAGAGGTCCCGAGGGTCGAGCCAGCGCGGGGCGCCCGCGGGGGGGGGGAGCCAATGGGCGGCAAGTGCTGCACGGACCGCAAGGAGCCCGTGGCGGGCGCGGCGGGCGCAGGGGCCCAACAGCCCGAGCGCAAGTCGCTGGCCGCCTTCGGGAAGCCAAGGTCTCCGCCCTCCTTGTGAGCAGAAGCGCTTGTTGAGCGCATGTTTTTGTTGGGCAGGCGGGCCAGGGGGCAGCGGAGCTGTGTCAGGGGTCGGACTTCTCGCTCCTCCCCGTCCTCCTCGCCGTCCTCCTGCTCCTCCTTCTCGTCCTCCTCCCCCCTCCCTCCCCCATCTCCTCCCTCCCGTCCTGCTTCATCTACCCCCTCTGCTTATCCTCCTCTTCCTGGTCCTCCTCAGGCCTTCTCCGTCGTTGCCTTTCCTCCAGTTCTCTCATCTCCCTCCTCCAGTCCTCCTCCTCGTCCTTCACCTCCTCATGGCTCTGGAGAGTCGAGGTCGCTGTCCCTCGGCTATCAGTCCAAGGGGGACGACGCGGAGAAGTTCGATAAGGCTTACGAGGCGAACGATTACAAGGGTCTCGTAGCGCTGCTCCCGTCGATGACCAAGGTAGAAGCGTTCGAGGATCAGGGGGATCCGCAACGAATACGAAATCACGCACATGTGTAATGCCCCCTCCTTGTTTTTGTTCGCGTAATCGAGTCCCTGCGTTGTAAGTCCCCCCCCCCTGTGGAGGAGCGGATGCATCCTTGGGCTGACGACCCCAGAACGGTGGGAGCGCTCGCGGGGACGCAGCTCGCGATCCAGGCCTCGCTCGCAGACGCCGAGAATCCGAGCGTGAAGGAGGAGATCTTCAGGGCCGGGGCCATCCCTCCGCTGGTGGGCTTCCTGAAGTCGGACGTGGGGAAGCCAAAAGGTACCCGTACTGCTACACCCGGACCTCTCCCAGGGTCCGTGCTGACCAGAATTTCGAGGCGAGTCCAGTGGTGGCGACGAGGGCCTCCCAGGAGGCCCAAAATAAAAGAGAACGAAGCGAGGGTACCCAGCGGTATTGATAACTCTTCCTCCTCTGAGGACGAGACGGACCGCGTTCATACCGCGGTGGTAGCGCTGAGCTTCCTGACCGCGGACTGCTCCAGCAACACGGTCGCCGCCTACGAGGCGGGGGCGGTAAAGCTCCTCCTGCAGCACATCGGCTCCCCGCTGATCGGGATGCGCGCCGCGGTGGCCACGACGCTTAGGAACATCTGCATGGAGATCGGCGTCGAAACCCGCATGCTACCCTCGCCGATCAACGATCGACGATGCGCGGGCGCGGCTAGGGTCCGGAACTCGTCGAACACGTTGCGAAATCCAGACCCCACGCCTGCCTCCCATCGACTCGTGAAAGCCGATGGTTGCTGGGGCTGGGGTCCCGACGTCGCCCACCCAGGAGCGGGACGAGTACCGCGCCGAGTTCGTAGAGCTAGGCGGCTCGGGGTCCCGGCTCGGTTGCTCTGAAATCGCTCCAAAGCGTTCCGGAGCGCTCTCAGAGCGTTCCGGAACGCTCTGGAGCGGCCGCGGCGCCCAATACATCCTCCAAACCCGCCGATGTTCAGAGATTTCGAGTTATCCCGATCCTCGCGTCGTTGTAATGTTCTAGGGGATCGACGATTCAATGTGTCTGTGTGTTTTTCCCCCCCCGGGGGCCCGGCCGGCGCTCGGCCTGGCCGAGCCGGGCCCAGGCACGGACTCGGCTGCCTCGGGGCTCGGGAGGCGGGCCGCTCCGCGGGCGGCTGGCTCGGCCCAGCGCTCGGGCATCCCAGCGGCACTCCTGCAGGAGGAGGAGGAGGAGGAGGAGGAGGAGGAGGAGGAGGAGGAGGAGGAGGAGGAGAGGAGCAGGAGAAGGAGGAGGAGGAGGAGGAGGAGAAGGAGGAGGAGGAGGAGGAGGAGAAGGGGGAGGAGTAGGAGGCGGGCAGCTCCGCGGGCGGCTGGCTCGGCCCGGCGCTGGGGCACCCCGGAGCCCCTCGGAGCGGCTGCGCACGGGAGCGGCCCTTCGCCGGAGGGTCCTCGGGCGCGCGGCCTCCGAGGGTCGGGCGGGCGGCAATGGCGGGCGAGCGACGTGACGGGGGTGGAGAGAGAAGGGCCCGACAGGGGCCCTTCAGGGCCCCCTTTGGAGCCAGCAGGACCGAAGAGCCGCCCTAAGTTGCCCCTTGAGGGACTTTCTCTGCACCCCAGATGGGTCCCCCCCACCAATACCACCCGCCCGAGGGGGGGCACCGCGGTGCTCAACCCACGCACACACGAGGACACTGCCGCATCGCACGCAACAACCGACAAGCCGCGCACCCCAGGTCATTCTTGCCGGCAGTGCCGCTTTTGCGCGAAGCCGGTTCTGAACTCGGCGCTGACCTGATCGGTCTTCACTGCTCCCTGCAGGGGCGACGTTAGGGTAGGAAAGGCTCAGGGGGGGATCCATCGACCCCGAGTCGCCAACTCATCGCCGATAGGGGCCCGACCCAGGAGCGTGCGGATTCGCCATGGGGGGCCTATCACCGCTTTGTCGGCGATGTACCTCCGATTCCAGCTCGACGTGTTTCCCCCGTGAGTTGCCCCTCCCCCCCCTACGGTCGTGAACTTTTGGATAGCGTGTCGCTCCGCCGATTCTTCCGCGGATGACTCGTGTGCATCGAACCGCGTTGGCGTCCCCCGAGGCGTCGTCGGTTCTTGACCCAGACATGGTACGGTGCACAGCTACGGTGCGTGGGCACCGTTCTCGTACAATCTGGCCCGCCACGCTTCTGGGCGACACGCTGTCCACGTTCGGGTCCCTTGGCGCCAACGCTTCGAGATTTTTTCGAGGCCGCCGGGCCCGCGGAGCGGAGCGGTACGCTACCCGCTGGCAGGGCACAGGTGCCGCCGGGGCCGCCGCGGCGACACGCCGAGCAGACCGTATCGTCGTCAGGAGGGGAAAAACACACAGACATAGCTAAACGTCGCTTCCCAGGAAGATGTGGGCAAATATGGGAAGTGGGGTAGGAAGAGGACACTTCAGGAGTTGCATCGGAAATTTGTGGGGAGCCCTGGGATCTTTGTTTGCTTATTGGAGAGGCCTTGCGGCCGGCGCCGCCGACCCTGGACGACGACGACGACGACGACGACGACGACGACGACGACGACGACGACGACGACGACGACGACGACGACGACGACGACGACGACGACGACGACGACGACGACGACGACGACGACTACGACATCGACTTGGGGGCCTCTTAGTGATAGTTTTGGGGCCTCTTGGGAGGCTCTTGGGGGGCCTCTGGGAAGCCTCACTGGGGCCTCCTTGGGCTTCTTGGCGGTCTTTTGGGGGCATCTCGGGGCCTTGTGGGGGCTCTTTGGGGGGTTTCCGGAGGCCTCCTGGGAGTCTGTCGGGCCGAAGGCTCGAAGTATCCGTTCAGGTCCCCCGTGTGGACTCCTTCTTTGAGCCGTCTTGGATGTGTGCCTACAGTGTACACCCATGCCAAGAAACACCCTGCTTGCCTCCAGGGTGCCCTGGGTTTCTTGGGTTTCGATGGTTTTGCTATGGAGAGCGTGACGCTCCCGCACCGAAGATCGATGGACATCCTGGGGTCTCAGGTTTGGGTTTGTTGTGGAAGGTTTCTTGTGGTCGGGGCCCTACTGTGCTGGGTTCAGCTCGCGCACAGTGTGGAACGCTTGGGTTTCAGGGTTGGGTTTCCTGTGGAAGCTTTCTTGTGGTCGGGCCTTGGGCCCCTGCACTTCGCCCCTCATCCCAGCTCCCTGCAGGGGGTCTGGACGGCCTGGTGAAGCAGCTGGCCGTCCCGGCATCGGCCGACCCCTCGCTGCCGCTTGTGGACGTGCAGCTGGAGGCGGCCCTCCGCGCGCACTCCTCCCCGCCCTCCTCCCCGCCCTCCTCCCGCCCTCCCGCGCCCTCCTCCCCGCCCTTCCTCCACCCGGGTCCTCCTCCTGCAACCTCTCTCTCCCCCTCGTCCCCTTTTTCTTCCCCCTCCTCCTCCTCCTCCTCCTCCTCCTCCTCCGCCTCCTCCTCCTCCTCCTCCTCCTCCTCCTCCCTCCTTCCTCATTATTCCTTCCTCCTCCTCCTCCCTCTCCTCCTCCTCCTTCTCCTCCTCCTCCTCCCCCACTCCCCTCCTCCTCCTCCTCCTTCTCCTCCTCCTCCTCCTCGCCCTAAAAATAATGAAGGGAGGGGGGTGAGGTGGGCGGTGATCAAAGTAATGTGCGGAGCATGGCCCACAGCGGCCAGAATGCATGTCACGAACGTCCGTTCGGCCCCTTGTAAATTCGGTTGTGAGAATGGATCTGACAATATGTCCCACTATCTGAGGTGTCGGCACCTGTGGTGGGCTGCCTGGTTTCCTCGGGATTTTTGTTCCAACTCTGTATTAATGAAGCTTTGTCTTGGGTCCCCTCGGGACCATGCCTCGACCCCCGATGATTCGCTCGATCGGTCGGTATTGAGGCTTAGCCTGACGCACCAGCTGCACGCTATCATATCAGCGCATCCTGGTTCTGGGCCACAGCACTTACTTCGTTGCCTAGAAGCTGCACGTGCACGCACGGGTAGGTAGGCGACTCTTCCTCTGGAGCGACGTTCGCTCCTCCTCCTCGCCCTACTCCTCCTCGCCCTACTCCTCCTTCTCATCCTCCCCCTCCTCCTCCTCCTCCTCCTCCTCCTCCTCCGCCTCCTCCTCCTCCTCCCTCCTTCCTCATTATTCCTTCCTCCTCCTCCTCCTTCTCCTCCTTTTTCCTTCCTCCGAACACTTAATCGGCACCCTGGAGAAGTTCTAGTGCATGGCGTACAAGATGGAGCCCAAACGACAGAGCAGCATTCTGCGGACGGGGACCGCCATACCACTACAAGGAGCAGCGGCTCAAGGAACAACGGGACCGACGACACAGATCCGCATCACACAGAACGGATGGTGGAACTGCACCGAGACGATACTGCGAGCGCTAGTCAAGCTAACAGAGCGACAGCACGGACACCAACAGCAAAGGGAGCTCGCCAACGAAGGCCGACGACTTGCGCGGGAAGAATTACCCCGTACAGGGACGACTACACAAAGACTTGTGGAAGAAGCGTATGGACCAGCTGGAGTATATCCCGCTAGGGACACTGAAGGGCATTGCGGAACAAGCTGAACAGGAAGTTCGAGACGCGCTGCGGATCGACATGGGGGACAGCAGGAAGCAGTACGAAACGTGGCTAATGCAAGCTCGCAAACACAGCGGCACGCCCCACAAGATCACCAAGCAACCACCACGACGCGAAACGGAGTTACACATTGGCTCCACGACTTTGTGCAGCCCGAAGGACATGATCGAGCGCAATGCCACACAACGAGCACGACCCATGGGCGCCGACGACCTCGACAGGAGCATGGAGGGCGAACCCGACAAGGGCAAGGGCGTGGACATGGTTTGCATCAGCGACATAAGACCCCCCCTGCATCTGGACGCCAGGCACTGGTCTATCTCTCCAACGAGTGCGAGCAACACCTCACATGGCCGTGGCAGCTCCTCACGTCCATCGTCATGATCACCCCCAAGCCCGCCAAAGGAAACCTAGCCCTAGCACTACTTCCTCAACTTGTACGCTGCTGGGAGATCCTATACCGTCAGCGCGTTCAGAGATGGGCACGACACCACGAGCGAGAATGGGACGCAGCGATAGAGGGCAACAGCTGCCTACGAGAAGCACTACGGCGCCTCGAACGCGCAGACGAACTGTGCCGATGGTAAGCAGTGCTACTAGCGGACACAGAAATTCTACGACAGCCTGCGCATCGACAAAGTCATCCCAGCGGCTCTCCAGCTCAACTTCCCAGCGAGACCACTCCACCTCATGATGCTGCAACTCTCATCACCGAGCTTCTCCGAGGCCAAGGAGCACGCTCACTCCCGCTATACGCCGACCGCTCGATCCTCGCTGGGTCACGCCACTCCAACAACGTGGCTAAAGCGATTGTGTGCGCGGCGATGGCGAAGTTGATTGGCGCCGCGGACATGCCGCGACCTGTGCCGCGTGCATGGCTCGCCGACATCAGCACTCGGATCGCTGGCAGCAGAGCGCAAGTTATCCCAGCCGCGGTGGCAGCGACTCACATGTTGCACCTGCGCCTCGGGGAGCAAGGACTCAAGCTAGCCGACAACACCGCGCTCATGTCATCGACGCACCAAGACACCAATGGGGGCGCAACAGCAACCCAGGCACTACGGCGTTGGCATCAGCATCACGCGTGAGGGCAGAGATCTGGGAGCTGACAGATCAGCCAGAGGAGGAGCGACCAGGATAACGGCGCATAGGGCGCGCTTGCAAGGAGTGCAACAACGCATCGGAGCAGTGGGGCGCAAACTACGACGGCTCCGCGCGCGGCGCAGAGCCGGAATCGCACAACTAGGCGGCGTGGCCTCGCTACGATATGGAGCAGCTTTCCACGACATGGCACCAATTGCGAAACACCTGGCTCCGCGACGCTATGCGCAACGGCCCCTGCCTACAAGCGCAGGCGAGGCGAGCATGGCCAGGGGTCTATCTACTTCCGACCCCTGAAGATACCTGACCAGCACCGATGGAGGAAGAGGAGAGGCCACATTGCCGCCATCATCCTGACGCTGTGGGAGCTAGGGTGGGACTCACGAGGGCCCGATACCTGGATCGACAACGACAAGAACTATTGGAAATGCCCCGTCGACGGCAAACAGGGCGGCCCGACCGACGTGGTAGACGCGCTCATGTCAGACGTCGCCTGCTACCTCTGGACGGCCGCAGCGAAGCACCACAACGGAGGAGGCCTGGACGCAAGCGGGGCAGACGCCACCGTCATGCGACGGTACCTGGGGTGGCTACTTCGACGCGGTAGCTACAGAGAGTACGGCGCGCTGCGGATAGCTTCATGCGCGGGGGCCTGGACGCGATCAAGACAGCGAGAATGCTTCGGAGAAGGCGCAGCAGACTTGCGAATGTGGAGACGAAGGAACGGACTACCACAGAATCTGGCAGATCTGCGACGCCAAGGACGGGCGCGAAATCTCCCACAAGACGCGCAAGTTTCAGCGCCAAGCGGAAGATGGGCAACACATCGCACCGGAGTTCTGGCCACGAGGCATCTCTCCACGATCATGGTCGGCACCGACAGAGTGCGACACAGAGGAGGAGGCCAACTGCCTGGGAGACAGCATGCACCGCGGGCGCATTGTTACAGAGGGCGGAGCACCAATCGTAGCGCACGGCGACGGATCAGAAAGCAAATGCAGCACTGGCTGGACATGCAGACGCCGCGGCTGGGCATAGATAGGACTGGGGGGAGTAGACGTGCGCATCACTGCGGGCAAGTACGGGCCTCTACCAGGACGACGACCAACCGACAACAGCGGAAGTGCGGGCGCTGCTAGGCTGGATCACGGGCACTGCAGGGGCCACTACAATCCTGGGCGGACAGCGAGGTCGTCTTCGAAGGATGGGCACCGCGACGCTACGGACAACAAGCGGAAGCGGGCTCCAAAGGCGACCCGTGGAAAGATGTTGGGCGAGAGCTTCACCAGAGGGGCAGCAGACGAAGTTCGGCTCTTCTACATCAGCAGCCACCTCAGCTGGGATAAATCCGAAGAGAAGGGGCGCACGCGGCACGCATGGCACGGCAACGCGCAAGCCGACAAGTACGCGGACATCGCAGGAGAAGCACACGACATCGACGACGAAAAGATGAAGCGCTACAACTGGGCAAGCGCGACGGCGGCCCCGGTGAGACGACGAATCGCAGCAGCAACGCAGCAAGTCCTGGATGGACGCCCAGCAGGAGGCCGCGACATCAAGGCAAGAGAAGTCAGCAGAAAAGAGCAGCGCGACAAAAGCGAACGAGGAAAGCCGACTACTTCGCGCCAGGGCCACCTGAGACCATCGGGCGGCGCCACCTGAGACCATCGGGTTGCGTTGGAAGTGCAGCTGCCGCCGTCAAAGTGCGCGCGTGTGGGTGGGTGGGTGGGGGGGGGGGGCTCGACCTTCGACGACTTCGCCGACTGGATCAAAGGCGGCCGCGACAGAACATCACCAAGACAAGGGGCGGAGCCGCATATCCACGGTTACGCAGCACGCCCCACACCGCCTCCAACACTTGAGCAAATAACAGAGATTGCATTGCAGAGTATGCGGGACATCAGCTGCGGCGCACGAGCCTCGGAAGACGCAGACAGGATGCCGCGGGGCACCTCCATGCAGCAGCTTGCAATGCAAGTTGAAGAAGAAGAACGAGATGGTGCACGCCCGAGGAGACGCCGAGACGAGCACTGCAGACAGCCCGGCGCCAGCGACACCGACAACACCACCGCTGCAAGACGGGCAACGACCTTCAAACCACATCCAGCAAAGGCGGGGCGAACGCCAAGTCGACATTCGCCCACAGCCACGCCCACCGCAGCAGGCCGACGCCGCTAAGCGCCGACGCCACGACACGACTATGGCGTTAGGGCGCAAAGACCTGGGGAATCCCCGAATGCGAGGGAACACCCCAGGCAACAGTCGCCACGTGGCGCTGATGGCGTGAGGGCGCAAAGTCGTGAGGAAGCCCCGAATGCGAGGGAACACCTCGGGCTCAAGTTGCCAGGGCTGGACAGCGCGAGGAGGCGGGCGTAGACGCGCCGAGACAGGATCAGAGCGAAATCAGTGCCGCACAACAAGCCCGCACAAGATGCAAGCGTGATCGACCCGACCGACTGCTGGGCCACCAAGGCGACAGCACACCACCCCGACATCAAGAATGAGGCGCAGCAGCCCTGGCGAGGCAAGGCGCAAACTTTGAGACGGGCTCGAGGGCAGGGGGGCAGGACGGGCACTGCCCGCGCCTGCCAGGGGGGATGGTGAGGGCAGGGGGGGGGGGGAGGCACTGCCCGCGCCCCCGCGGTCCGCCCTAGCTCGCCACCCCCATCATTCCCACGGCGGCGGGGGAGGAGCTCACCCGACTTGCGAGGCGGAGCATTGGGCAGCTGCGACCTACCCCACCGCGAGCGGAAGCAAGCACAAGGCCTGGGGTTCGCCCCCACTGAGGGCATTGCGGCCCCTAGCCATAGCGGGACGATGTGGGACAGCCACGAACCCCACCTGAAGTCTGTGCATGGATGCCAAACAAGCGCGCCCACCACCCCTACGACGCGACCAGCAACACGCCGACCCCGCACCGACCACTCGACCGACTTACCGACCCCACGAACGCCGAAGGTCGAAGACGACGAAGCCGAAAGTACGGAAGACCGACGAAGACGGTGGACACCACGACTTCGGGCTGCCAGTAGCAAGACCGACGAGCAGCGCGACGAACAGATGCACGACGCTATCCAGCAGCACCAGCCGCGCAACCAGCCGGCGAGCAACACGACGGCGGAGGTCGACCACACGCAACAGCACGACAGACAACAACCGACCTACAAAGGAGCGAATGCAAGCCAGCGGGCACGCACCACACCACCTCATACGAGGATGGGCGTGAGCACGGACCCGACTGTCAGTCCGACGCCAACGATGAGCCGACCACCGACCTCAACAGAAGCGGCAGAGAGTGCGGAAGACAGACGACGGTGGGTGCAACGCCTCCTGGCTGCCGCCAGCAAGCCAGTCGAACAGCAAGACGGACAGCAAGCTGAGGAACCAGCCCTAGAACATCGGGGAGATGAGCAGCCCAGCAGTGCTCCGCGCGCCTCAGCCAAACGCGCGTGGAGTGGGGGTGGGCCGCAGGGCCGCGACACCGGCCCAGCAGTGCTCCACGCGCCTCGGCTAGACGCGCGCGGAGCGGTGGTGGGCCCCAGGTCCGCGACCCCCCGGGAGAGGGCCGCCGCGGCATCGGCCGGGGTGGGCGCGGCCAGACCGCGCAACTCGCGGGGAGCGAGACGCGAAATAGCCGAAATAATATTACTCCTCCTCCTCCTCCTCCTCCTCCTCCTCCTCCTCCTCCGCCTCCTCCACCACCACCACCACCTCCTCCTCCTCCTCCTCCTCCTCCTCCTCCTCCTCCTCCTCCGCTTCGGAGCCGGCGCCAGACGCCGCGGCAAGGTGCGGGCCCCAGGGCCCCAGCCGAGCCGTCCGCCGCAGGGGTGCGCCTCCTCCTCCTCCTCCTCCTCCTCCTCCTCCTCCTCCTCCTCCTCCTCCTCCTCCTCCCTATTTCCCTCCTAGAATTAAGTCGAGCGCGTCCTTCTACAGGAAGAATGTTCAGGAATTGTCCAAATATAGTATTGGGACGATGTGTCGATTATCTTTCGATTCTTTTTGAATTTTCGTTGACTAATTGTCGCTTTTCGAATTCCGCCTGTAGGAGGACATGCGCGACCCAATCCTAGATGCCCCCCTCCCCCCCGCTGATTCCTGACACCAGCTTGCGTGCGCTGTGCGCCCGCGTAGCTGGCCTGCCCTTCCCACTTGGGGAAGGTGCTTGATCAGCCCGCGCTCCAGACTCCTGCTGCTCCAGGCTGTCCGCCCTCCTCATCCTCCTTCCCACTCTCCCTCCTTCCTCTCTCCCCTCCCCCCCCCGATCGGCAATTGCACCTTGCGTGTACTACTACCTTGATTTCTCCCTGGACTATCAGGACGATATCAGGCCCTCTCGGTGCATTGCTTTCGCACGCCAGATCTCAACGCTTATGTGTCTCATGCTGGTTTAACAACAATCTGGCTGTTCTCGGCGTTTCGAAATGGTGCTCTGTTGCAGCGCGGCCTTCGTTTTCGGATCGGCGCTTTGCTCCCGCCGTGCAGACTAGCGCCTCAGCCCCAGCGCGGACATTTTTTCTGGATCCGAGTCCTTGCTCGTCGCTGTCGCTCCCCTCGCTTCCCCTCGTCCGCCTTCCCAGGGGTCCTGCTCCTCCCCCTCCTTTGACTCTAGCTCCTGCTTGCTGCTGTCTGTCCTTGTCCTCCGTATTTTGCTCCTCGTCCTCCTCCTCCTCCTCCTCCTCCTCATCCTCCTCATCCTCCTCGTGCTCACCCTCCTGTTCATCCTCTTGCTCACCCGCATCCTCTTCCTCCAATGTACGCCGCCCCATGTTTGTTTCAGGTTGCGCATCACACGATGGGGGTCCTCGTTGGCGTCCCAGGTCCGCTGTGGAACGCGTCTGCGTACGGAGAAACAGCAACGCAGTGGGAAGGGATGGGTGGGACCTTTGTTGGCCCCAGAAGCGGCAGGGCCGTTTTTGTCACTGTTTCCAGAAAAATGTCCCTTGAAAATGGAAGCGGCAAAAATACGGCGACCGGAAACGGCGCAAAAACGGCTCCAGGATTGGAACCGGAGCCGGAACCGCTCAAAACACGGCGACGGAACCGGTAAAAAACGGTGTCGGAACCGGCAAACAAACGGCAGAACGGAACCGGTGAAAAAACGGCCCCGTCGTTTCCAGGACCCGCTTAAGGGTGGGACCGTTCGGATGTCAGATATGGCGCGAGCGCGCCCAGCTTGCCGCCCTCCCCCTCGCCGCCCTCCCCCTGGGGCCCTCCGCCTCGCCGCCCTCCCCCCACGAGGGGCACTGTAGGGCCCTTTTCTTTTGCCCCTATTCAGGGCCCCCCCCATGACCACCCGCCCGACAGAACGGAGGCAGAGAGATGGGGTCTGGGACTCCGGTGGCGGTTGTTCGCGATGTGCCGCATTTGGGTGCGCAGCGTCACCCCCCAAAAAGGAGTTCAGGGAAGGGCATGCTCCCGGAAGCATATATGCGCAGGTCGCCACCCCAAGCACGACCGCGTGAAAGTGCAGGTCGGGCCCTGGGGCGAGGAGGAGGGGGCTCTCCCCGCCTCTGGTTTGGTGCCTCCACCAGAGCATCATCAGGACACTGGCTGAGCTTGGTGCTGTCAGGGGTAGTCTTCGGGTGCGTGCGGAAGGGGGGTCGGGGCTCTGTCGGCGGCGACTCGTGGGACCCGGACTGATCAGCTCGGTTCGGCCGCTCCCAGCGCCCCCCCTTCTCTCGCCGCGGAGGCTGGTTCCTGCGTCTCATCGGGCGGTCCCCACTCCACCTGCCGCCCGCAGCAGGCTCGTGAACGTTGTTCGTTTCCTTGTTTCCCCTGCTGTTTGCTTTTCCTTTGCTATATATATATATATATATATATATATACACGCAGACATAACTACATATATATATATATATATATATATATATATATATATACACGTATCTATGTGTAAAAAGTGTCCGCGCGCGGGGGCGAGGGTTGAGCAGGCGGAGCAGGAGCAGGAGCAGGAGCAGGAGCAGGAGCAGGAGCAGGAGCAGGAGCAGGAGCAGGAGCAGAGGACGAGAGGTAGGGTCGCGGGATCGATGGTAATGAAGAGGAGGAGGACCAGCGTAAACCCAAGACGCATCAACAGGGATCATTTCGATTCCTCCGATTCGATCCGATCCGATTTCGATGGCTTCCGATACCGGTTCGATTCGACTTCGGATTCCAATCGGGGCTCCGATTTCTCAATGGAGGCCTACTAGCCTGCCGATTTCCGCCGATTCGACTTTTCCGGACTCGGCTGCTGATTTCCGCCGATCCGATGCATTTCGATCGCCGATCCGACTTATCGGTTCGATTCTGGGCTCTCCTGCATCAGCGACACTGCGGCAAACCCTCTCGTGCGGTGTCGATGAGGCGAGGGCCACGTGTTGAAGACGACCCGCCGTCCATCCGTGAAACCGTTCTGCAAACTTCCGAGACACATGTGAGCGGCGCTAAGGCGAGAGCCACATTTTGAAAGCGACCCACCTCCCACCCGTGAAATTGTTACATGTTTCAAGTTTCAGGGTCATAGATGATGAGCAAGTCTCTGGCGAATCGCCCGGCTCGCCCTACCAGCACGCCTGGGCCAACACGCCTGGGGGTGCGGCAGGGGGCGCATGTATAAGGAAAAGGAGCGGAGGAGGGGGGGGGATCAGGAGGAGGAGGACGAGGATGGAGCGAGCGCAGCTGGAGGCCATCCTCAACCTGCAGGACGTTATCGAGGACCAGGACGGTAACCTGATCGACAAGTACGCTCAGAAGGCCCGCGATGCGGGCGTCGTCCCTCTCCTGCAGCAGCTGGTGCTCAGCGAGGACGAGGAGGCCCCCGCTCGCACCCTTGCCAGCCTTCTCGCAATGTTTATTGCCATCCTCCTCCTCCTCCTTCTCATCCTCCTCCTCCGTCTCATCCTTCTCCTCCTCTTCCCCTCTCCTTGGCCTCCTGCATAGCCTTCTCCCAGCTACGGCGAGTTCTGCAAGGCCAGGCGGCTGGGTAGCGGGCGGGAGCAGAGACAGGGGGGGGCGGAGTGGCTTCTCCTCCCACTCTAACCTTCCTCCTCCTCCTCCTCCTCCTCCTCCTCGCCATTCTCCTCCAACTCCTCCTCCTCCTCCTTTTCCTCCGCCTCCTTCTCATCCTCCTCCTCCTCCTTCCATGCAGCCTGTCGCAATGTGAGCAGCTGCGGGTGGTCGCGCAGGCCCTTCAGACTGCAGCCGCCGCCGCCGCCGCGAGGTTCCTCAGGGATTTGAGGGAGGACTGGATGGAGGGAGGACTCGTCTGATTAACCCCTGATGAAGGTAAACCAATCGGGCGAGTCAGCGGACAAAGGTCCTCCTTCGTAGCATTCCCATAGCACTCCTCCGTTACGGCCTCTTAGACGCGGATCCGTTTGTCCAGGAAGATCGGGCCGTAGACCTCCACCCCCGGCCAAAAGCCACGTAGGAAAGAGGAGAGAAGAAGAGGCGAGCGAACGACGGTGAGACCTGAACGAGGGTGGGGTATGGGGCTGGTGCTTGCGTCTGTGCGCTCGAGGCTGCAGACAAGGCCGCCCACGGGACGCCCGGTGCCAAGCGTGCTTGCGTGGATATGATGTGTGGAGGCGGACGGTCTAGTCAGGACGTACTGCAGTGGGTCCCATAATCGGCGGTCGGCTCATGGATATGGCTGGGCTCGCATTCGTGAGGTGTGTATGTGGCCAGAGCATGGGCCCCAACGGTCTTTTGGGGAGGTAGCGGGCCCACGTCGTCGCGTCTTTTGCTTGGAGCAGGCCCGCCAACTTGCTCTTCAAATCCCGGGGACCCGAGGGACATGATGTGGCCGTTGGCGGCAGCAGAGCGCAGGTGCGGCGAGCCGAACACGTAGCACAGCTGGCTGTCTACGGCGGCGCAGGACGTGTGCGCATGGTGGCAGGTGCGTGGCTGGGAGCTGGGCTGGGGCCGGGAGCAGGTCACAGCAGGCACATCCAGCAAGAGCCTCGGCCTGCCGACGGGTGGCCCACGAAAATGCATGATCCCCTGGTGGCCCCATTGACCCGCAGAGGCGCTGGGGCACGCAAGCTGCCCCCAGATGCCACACAGCACAGTGTCTTGCCGCACGTGCGTACTTGCTGCCTGTTCCACTGGTTGGACCGAGGGAGGACCCCACCCCCGAGGGGAAGGCGGGCCCCTCCTCGGCTTGTCTCTCGGTATGGGCCTGGCCACGCTTGTCCGCGGCCGCCCTCGGCCATCGCCGAGGGCGGCCTTCGCCGATGGTGGCCTGTCGGATCTCATAGCCCGTCTCGAGGCATTCCCTGCCCCCCCTCCGCGAACCACCCGTGGCAGGCGACAGCGGCATCGCGGCGTAGGAAGGTGTGGTGTCCGCTGCGGGCGGAGGCGGGGCGCGCAGTGGGGTTGGCGGTGGGCGGCGGCGTGCGGCTGGTGCTGAGCGCCCTGGAGCGCGGGGGGGACGGCTACAGTCAAACCGCATAGTGAGGATGGGCAACTTTCCCAATGGTACCCTTGCATCCTTGCCTCCTCGATCCATCCTTGGCCACTTTCGTTGGCCGCGCGCCGCTCGAAAAGCTTCGAAATGGGCGTCCAAGTTCCTTGTATCCTTGTTGCGCATCCTTACTATCAAGCTCGACTGTATGCGTACGAGACATTCTAGGGAGGACGGCTCTGCGTGCGAGACAGTATGGAAGCCGCACGGTTCCTTGATCCGACTGCTGTCAGGAGGGGAAAACACAGATACAAATGATCGTCGATTCCTTTGACGATATGGAAAATTTGGGATCTGTGGGGGAAGACGAACATCCAGAAACTATAGAAAAGATGGGGCATCCTGTGATCTGTGTCTATAGATTCGTGTGCCCCTGGGCTCCTTCGTGTTGCGGCACCGCGTATCGTTCTGCTCGGCCGATGTCTGCGTGCTGGTGCTGCCTCTGCTGCCCGGGTGGTGCACGGGGCAGGTGCTCAGACTGTTCCGATGGCCCTCCCACGGGGCGCCCCAGAGAGAGCCTCGCCTTCGAGGATCGAAGGGGCTGCCGTCTCCTCCGGAAGGCCGCGGCAGGGAGGCGGAAGGCAGGCGGAAGGCGGCGGACCGCCTCCTGCGGCGGAAGGAGGCGGAAGCAAAACATGCGCCCCCGAGAGATGTCGGCGTTGTTGGGTTCAGGGTTTCCGGAACCCTCCACATGTGAAAGGATAAAGGTTGAGGTCAGAGTGAGATGTGCGAATAGTTTGGGGTGTCTGTGACGGTATCGTATTTATTCCAGCCGTTCCCAACCATCCTGTGTAGTTGGGTCCTCGTTTCGAAGAGTCTCCTTCGTCCTTCTCCCCTTCCCCTCCTTGCCTCTGCCTTCCGCGCCAGTCAACCATGTCGGCACACCTCTCGCATGCTTCGTGGTCCCAAAGGGAGCTCCACCGAAGGCCTCAGTGTCTGTGTTCGCATGCGGGTCCCCCGCCGAGTACAGCGTTTCGTGACCCCATAGGGAGCCCCACCGAAGGCGTCAGTGGCGGTGTTCGCATGAGGGTCCCACCCCCAGTAGAGCGCTTCGTGGCCCCTTAGGGAGCTCCACCGAAGGCCCCAGTGGCAGTGTTCGCATGCAGTTCCCCCTCCCAGTACAGCGATTCGTGGCCACCCCTCCAGGGAGGCCCCACGAGAGCGGGAAGGGTGTTCGCACACAATGTTATTTATCAGGTATCTTGCCCATCCCACCCCTCCAGGGAGGCCCCGCCTGAGCGAGCAGGGTATTCGCACACCATGTTATTTATAAGTTTTCGTGCCTCTCCCACCCCTCCAGGGAGGCCCAGCCTGAGCAAGCAAGGTATTCGCACACCATGTTATTTATCAGGTTTCGTGCCCCTCCCACTCCTCCAGGGAGGCCCCGCCTGAGCGAGCAGGGTATTCGCACACCATGTTATTTATCTGGTTTCGTGCCCCTCCCACCCCTCCAGGGAGGCCCCACGAGAGCGGGCAGGGTATTCGCACACTATATTATTTGTCAGGTTTCGTGCCCCTCCACCCCTCCAGGGAGGCCCCACCAGAGCGGGCAGGGTATCCGCACACCATGTTATTTATCAGTTTTCGCGCCCCTCCCAACATTACAGGGAGGCCCCGCCAGAGCGGGCAGGGTATTCGCACACCATATGATTTATCAGGTTTCATGCCCCTCCCACCCCTCCAGGGAGGCCCCACCAGAGCGGGCAGGGCATTCGCACACCATATTATTTATCAGGTTTCGTGCCCCTCCCGCCACTCCAGGGAGGCCCCGCCTGAGCGGGCAGGGTATTCGCACGCCATAGTTTATTATTAGGTTTCGTGCCGTTCCCGCCCCTCCAGGGAGGCCCCACCAGAGCGGGCAGGGCATTCGCACACCATGTTATTTATCAGGTGTCGCCTCCAGGGAGGCCCCACCAGAGCGGGCAGGGTATCCGTACACCATATTATTTATCAGGTTTCGTGCCCCTCCCACCCCTCCAGGGAGGCCCCACCAGAGCGGGCAGGGTATTCGCACACCATATTATTCATCAGGTTTCGTGCCCCTCCCACCCCTCCAGGGAGGCCCCACCAGAGCGCAGACAAGAAGCAATGGAACCCCGTAACATCTTTATGTGGGGAACTCCGTTAGCATAATTTTGTTGACGTCGGGCCTTCTGGAGTGAAAGGCGCTTGGCGCTGAATTCCCTCGGGCGTGCGCGTGGCCAAATGCGCGCCGTGGCTTCATCCGTGCCGGGGCGCATTTCTTCCCTCGCGAAGCCGATGGCGCCCAAGGCGTGGCAGGCCCGTTCGGCGGCGCCCCCGGTGATTTGAAAAACCGAGCATGATTTTCATCCCGGTCAAATTTTGCCCCGATCCTGGCTTCATCTGACCAGGAGGCAAAAATCATTGATTTTCTGTTGGTTCTTGGTGCAGTTTGGGGTTCTCCTCTTTTCTCAGAACAGGAAAAACACATAAACACAAAGGGTTTTATTGGTTCTGCGCTGGCATGGGGCGTCGTTGAGAGGGTGCCTGGCACGGATGCGGGGATCGGGGCGGCGTCGGTGTTTGGAGCTGGCTGTATGCTTGGCAAGCGCGTTTAGCTGGTCGCATTTGTTCGGAACAGGCGACGGGTGGAAAGGCCGCTCACCAGCAACTGGCAGTCCTCTGCCCGCGGGCCAGAACACGCAACGGGGCGTGGGAAAGGGGGTGGGGAAGAGAGCGCGAGTCTCATTCCCAAGAAGTCCCTTCGATATGCAGCACAACATTATTTTCCTATTCATCTGCCGCACGGCCAACCGAACGATCGAACAACTGTCTCGGCGCGCAGCGTTAGCTTCGTTTGCGCGCATCATGCTTTCCTTCCGTTGCTTCCTTCGTTTCTTTCTCGCCCTCCTCTTCGTTTTCCTCTTCCCCTGCTTTGCCTTGTCCCGCCCCCCCTTCCTTTCCAGTTCGGAGCTGTCACCGCGCGCGAAGAGCGTAACCCAAAGGGCGTTGCTGTAATTCTTTGGTGTGCCACGAAGTCTCGCGCAATTCCTTTGTGGACGGTCTGGTTACACTGCCAACGCGGGGGGCACACAAAGGAATTTCCTTTGTGTACGATCGTTTTCGCCGCCCCCACAAGAGCACGCGCGATTCCTTTGTGTAGAGCTTGCTTTCCCGCCTCGAGGAGCGCACGGGGCCTGGCGCTACAATCACAAGGCCGCGGCGCTTGGCAGTGCGATGCAGCTGCGCCGGATACCACGCCCAAAACGATCCTACGTGGAGTTCGGCTCTTCTGCCGAATTCGCGCTGGGAGCTGGCCAGCCACATCGCCGGCCCGGCATGCCCGCGCGCGCTACTGCGTTCTGCTGCCGCGACGCGTGCTGCTGTC